GAGAGAAAGAAACATCAATGATGAGAGAGAATCATTGATCGATCAGCTGCCTCCTGCACGCCTCCTACTGGGAATCGAGCCTACAACCTGGGCATGTGTCCTTGAGCAGAATCAAACCCGGGACCATTTAGTCCACAGGCCAACACTATTTAGTGAGCCAAACCAACCAGGGCCTACCTCCCAGTCTTGATTAACTGCTCCACCTTTTCCCATATTACTGTGAGCTTATCCCACTCTTATCCTCGCACTGTTTTGTAACCCTCTGTTCACTAGTTTTTCTCCCCCAAAGACTGAGTTTCGTGAAGGGAGAAACGGTCTTCATCTCTGTATCCCTAGTTCAGTGTACTCAATAAATGTTTAATGAATGGATGGAAGCTGACATCAGAAGCTATTTCTTGGCTTTGGGAACTCTTTGAGTCCAATAGAAGACATTGAGATACTAATCTAAGAGTCCTTATGTGCTGATTATAGTGCTCTTGAGACAAAAACTTGGAAAGTTTACAGAGGTCAGTCACAAGCCAGCTGCACTAAGGAAACTAAATACAGGCAGACCCTGCTTTTGTTTACTTAAATTTTATTGGTCTGCTTCATTGGCTGTACTAAAAATAGCATCTCTTTTAGTGATATCTCAATTCGAAAATTATCTGGGAACAAAGCTGCCTTTTAGTGTACCCTGCCTGGCAGCAGAGAGTTTGGGAGAGACTGGTCTTCCTTCCCCTGAACTCATGCAGCCTGAAGAGGAAGTGGTGCCAGATCAGGAATCTTCTGAGGTGTCTCAAAATACATGCCTGAGCCAGGTACTGGAGCCAGGCAGGGGTGGGTGCATGTCAGGCTGAGCTCTGACTCTCAAAATCACCTGGAGAGTGAGGCAGGCATGTTCTCGCAACACAAATAAGTCAAGGTGATGAGCAGCAGCCAGTTACAGCAACAACCTGCCTCTCCTGGTGGGGGAGGGGGCTTGGAATTGAGGACAGTGGTTGGTCCTCAGTGAGGACATCCTCAGATGAAGCTTAAATCAGCCAATGCACTTGATTGAACTCCTGCAGTATCCCACACAGATTGTACTGGAGCACGTTTTTAGAGCTATTGTTATTTTTATCGCTGATAACAAAGTTTGTGGCTATAAAATAGAATGTTGAGCTAGCCTCTTTGTTAATAGAGATGTTACTGTATCCATTTTTCATCTTAAGCCACTCACCTTCAGTTTTTACTGCTGATATCTGGTTTGCACCAGCACGGAGCCCTGGCATTTTGCCTGCTCACGCAGGAGTACCATCTGTGGTAAGAGAGAGTAACTATAGGCTATACAGTATGCAAGGAAACAATCCCTGTGTACTGTAGGGTTTTTTGTTTTGTTTTAGCCATTCTGCTTCCCAGAGCTTTTTCTAGAAATGCTTTATGGTGAAAGTGAGAATTGGCATTAGAGCTAAATATTCATGTTCATAGCACAAAGCTGAAAGTTACTACCATCCTGCTGGTAGGAGTAACATGCTTTCTTGCTGGTAATACGCAGGGACAGAGAAAACCAAGACAAGAAAGCCAACACCCACTTTGGAATGTTCCTCTGAATCAAGCTCCTGATTATATTAAAGAGGAGTCATACTATCCATTAATTTCAAGGCCCTGGGCTGCCCCAGGGGACACAAGATAACTACTTGGATATTTTATCAGTCATCCATCAGCCCCATTAAATGGCAAGAGAAAAGCCCACCAATTTTAGTCTTCTAGTCCTCTCTGGTGTTTCCAAACCAGTCCCTGGGTCAGATAAGTGTGAAAAATGACGAAGAATCGACAGTATATCTAAGCAACCATTTGTGCATTACCTAGAGATATCAAGTATAGCTAGGACAGAAGAAATGATGTAAGGACATCCTCACATTAGGCAGTGTGCATTTGATTGAACTCTTTATTTAATTCATTTTTATTGTCTAAAGTTTTACATATGTCTCCTTTTTCCCCACTTGACCCCCCCTCCCTTGATTGAACTCTTAGAGTGGGTTTGGCACTGGGGGTGAGAACAAATACAGAATAAATAAAATGTATAGTCCTTGCCTCTAGAGAGTACACAGTTAAGTTGGGGAGATGGTCAGTGTCCAGACTTGCAAAAGAAGAAGAAAGCTCCACAAGGTGGTAAGTGCCACATGAATGGTTCAGAAATTCAGGGGCCTTGTGGTGTGCCAGGACACAGAAATAAGTATAACATTGGGGTCAGCTTCTGAGCCAAGACTTTAGCTTAGCAAAGAAGTAAACCAAAGGACGGTGTAGGCTTGTTCTGAGGCAACAGGTATTTTTCAGCCACTGCTGTACTCACGGTTGGTAATCATTTAATCAGCAGTAGTTCCAGTCATGAAGGACAGCAAGGTAAATGTATGGTATAAATTCAGTTCAGAAATTGAGCCAAACCCTATTACCTAACCTTTAAAGCAAAGAATCATTTGAAACCGAAGGAAAGGCTACCTAAGCAGGAGACAAGATGAAAACTAGGAAAACTTGGGGAAGGTTTAAATTTCTGCAAGTGATGGTAGCCGAACCAACAGTCTGTCTACCACCGATTGCCGAAGATGGGATCTGATCATATTAAGCTAGGTAGGTGTTCCCATCTGTCTGGTCAGCCTGGGTGTTTTGAGGCAGGATGGCCAGTGGGTGACTTGGCTGAAGTTGAGCCCGAAGGTTGAGCCAGGTACTCTCCCTGGGTTGTGAGCCCTCTGGGTCGAGGGCAGGGTTCATCTGGGGAACCTACCGAGACCACCACGCCTGGCTCATTAGTGGATGTCTGGGGAGGCCTTTGAAGATGAAACATCCCATAAGCACTCATTGTTTCGGTTTTTTGGACAAACTAGTACTTTGGTCTCCAGGGGCTGTTGTTCTGGCCCCTTTGTGTGTTCTGGAATTTGCTACAAACTGAGGGAAATAGGAAAAAAAAAACAACTGAAATAGTTTTTGAAAAAAACAACTAAACTCCCACCAAACCTCCAGACTTTAGCTTGTAAATAGGATTCCTCCCCATCCACTTTTCACATTCTTGGGTTTGGGTGCACTCTGTCCTGACCTGTTCCTTTGCCTGCTGGATGTGTGTGTGTGTGTGTGTGTGTGTGTGTGTGTGTGTACTTCTGGTTACCAGACCAGCAGCAGCCGGCATATGGTGATAGCTGAATAAGCTGATGCTGATGCATATCTCCCCCAGGCACAAGAACTGGCTGGCAGGCTCGATTCTGAACTCCCATTTCATTGTTTGAAAGATGCATTTCTGTGGCTGTCCTGTGTCACAGAGAAGGGAGGGAATATGAGAGGGAATAAATGACTCTATGATCTGTTGGGGGCAATGATTGGGGTTGGCATTTTGTACCTTTTTAATGGTTCTTCATTTTTTTAGCAGGTGTTTGTTAAGAACCTACTATGTGCTAGACATAAGCATCTCATCTTAGTAAGCTGCTAGTGAGGTCAAAACAGAACCTGGAAGTTAATTCAGTTATTTATCTGCTATGTGCCAGGTGCTATTCAAGGTACAGGAACACAGCAGTGAACAGAATAGATAAGGAGCTGACATTATTGTAGGAGGAGAAAAACAATAGAACAAGAAACAAATATGTGATGTGTCAGATGGTAATAAATGCTGTGAAGGAAAGTGGGATAAATCGCGGGTGGGGGGAGTGTGTGTGTATGTGTGTCTTATAGGTGGTTATTGAAAGCCTCTTTGGTAAGGTGACGTTTGAATAGATACCCGCTGGAAGTGAGAGAGTACTCCATGAAGTTGTCTAGGAGAGGAAGCATTTCAGGCAGAGTGAATAGCAGTTACAAAGCTTTGAGGCAGGAAAGTGTTGGGGAATTGAAGTGGAGTACGCAATGGGAAGAGTAGTGGATCTGATGAGAGAAGCAGGGGGAACGCAGATCATGCAGGACCTTGTAGGCCACGGTGTGGCTTTCGGTGTTACTGAAAGGGAGATATGAAGCCACGAGAGGGTTTTGAACAGAGAAGCAACAAGACCTGATTTTGGTTTTAAAATAGACTGAAGGGGGTTAAGGAAGAAAGCCTCATTGCTTTGTGACCATATGGATCTGCTGACCTTGGATGGGCCATGGCAAGCCTAGGATTTACCTGGCTGAGGAACAAGAGGTAGTCTTCACACCCCACTTTCCAACTCAGAGTGTACTGTTGTATGAAGGGCACCACTTTAACAGCCAGCATTTCAGAATGGAAAGGATCAGACTCTTTTAGGCATGCTGCTGTCTTTTTTTCCTCATTAATTGTGATGTGTAGAGGAAGGGGGAATTGCAGAAATGTGAAGACAGAAGCAGTCTCTTGATTAGAACAGAGACATAAACCTTGGGAACCTGGCAAGCCTGAACCTTGTTGGGAGTCACCAAGAGCCACTCCTCATTCCACTCCCTGCTCTCCCACCCTTTCCAGAAGTGTCAGGGTAATGTTGGAGGGAGGGGCATTAATGATCTTGCAACACCTTGGAGTATAGTATACATTGTCAGGACGGAAGGGACTTTATTTATTTTTAAGATTTTTAAAAAATTGATTTTTAGAGAGAGAGGAAGGGAGAGGAAAAGAGAGAGAATCATTTATATGAGAGCAGAACATGATCGGCTGCTGCCCCCTACCAGAGCTCAAGCTTGCAACCTGGGCATGTGCCCTGCCTGGGAATTGAACCAGCAACCTTTTGATGCACAGGACAGTGCCCAACCAGCTGAGCCACACTGGCCAGGGTTGGAAGGGATTTTAGAAATCATCTATTTCAACACCCTTCCATTTACAGGTGAAATAACTCATCCAAAGTCACATGTAGATTACTGGCAGAGCAGTGGTCATGGGTGTTCACTGCTTTGTCTGTGCTCCCAAAGGCTCAAGGTGTGTCTCAGTGAGCCTTAACCTTCATAGTCCCCTCAGGCTCTCAGTTTGTCCTGAGTGGACTCCAGCTTTGACTTTGCAAATCCCATTTACGTGAAATTCTGACGAGCAGATGGTGGTAATGAGTTTACATTTCTTTGCCTAGGATCAAGTCCTCCATACCCGGGACCAGGTCAGAACCAGACTGCCACTGCCCCCACTTGGGCCCTGCTGTCTTCAGAAAGCAGCTGCTGTGATCATGGGTAATATCTTTGGAAACCTTCTCAAGAGCCTGATTGGGAAGAAGGAGATGCGCATCCTGATGGTGGGCCTGGATGCTGCAGGAAAGACCACAATCCTATATAAGCTGAAACTGGGGGAGATCGTCACAACCATCCCCACCATTGGTAAGGACACAGCTTGGATGTAGGCTTTCATGCCAGCCGCTGAGCAGCCAGGCTGGGGCCTATCCATAGATTCCTCCACCTGGCCACCAGGCAAGTCCATGCAATGTGTGGGTTTCAGGGGAGGATGGTTATTTAGCTTACCAGCAGCTGCTGGGGCTGCTATTTGCCCACCTAGCCTGGTCTTCTCTGATGCAGGAACTTCTGCAGCCTGGCACTCAGAAGTTGCCCTCAGGTACTGAGCTGGTTTGTTCTCTGTGTTGTTTAGAAGGCAGGTGAAGGGCTTTGATGTCCTTGCCAGAGGCCTGGAATTGCTTCAGTATAGAACCTCAGTGGCCCTGTCCTGGTTAGGAACTGCCTGTAGGAGGGAGAATATTG